ATAAGATAATCATTTGTTATTTTTGCTATCGGTCTTATATGCATCTTTTCATATATGACAGACTTTACAAAGCCATTTTTGTAGCCATTTAGGAACTCGGACACCATCGATTGTCTGACTTGTTTCATCAGATCATCGACTATGAATATGTATCTCTTCACTTATCTGCATAGGGCGGTGCTACGGGGCATGAATAGTAGCTTGCAATTACAATTTCTATCCATAAATAGACTAAAAAACCTGAGCCTGCAACATTTTCAATCATGTCGTTTAAGGATTTCGTTAAAGAGATTCGGTTTTTATGCTCCCCGAAGGTTGAGCGTTTAGTCGCCGCTTTGTCCGTCCGTCCGTCTGTCCTCCCGTTGGTCCGCTATTCTTAACATAACTTTGAAACATCAAGAGGTATCAACATGTAACGTTGAAGGTAGATATATCTCATTGAGTAGATGTGAAGTGCACAAGATCCGTAACTTTGCCTTGCCTAATTTTGGAATTATTGTTCTTTGTTTATTTTTACACTTTGCACATTGTCCGGGACATAACTCTAAAACTATAAAATATATCAACATTAGACTTTGTAAGAAGATAGATCTCATTGTGTAAAAGTGCAGTGCTAAAGAATTAAACTATAACTCTGTCTTCCCTTATTTTGGAGTTATTGCGCTTTGTTCATTTGTACACTTTGAACTTTGTCCGGACATAACTCTAAAACGATCAGAGATATAAACATGAAACTTTGTAGGTGGTGGCGGCGTGGTCGAGTTGTTAACGCATCGGACTAGTAATTTAAGGATTTCTGACTGTCTGGGGACAAACGCTGTCCGGGGCAACCCGCTGTTTCCAAGATATTACTCTCATTGCTTTTTACTGGTTGGTTCCAGGAACGGATTCGAGAGTGTTTCAATAAGCTTATAGCTTCCAACACAATGGAACTAAAATAAATTTGTATAAACTAAACTTTGTAGGTAGATAATTCTTATTGGGTGGAAGTGCAGTGCTAAAGAATAATAATTCTGTCTTGCTTAATTTTGGAGTTATTGCCCTTTGTTCATATTTACACTTTGAACTTTGTTCAAGACATAGATCTAAATCTATAAGAGATATCAACATGAAGCTTTATAGATAGAAAGAGCTCATTGAAAAGAAGTGCAATGCAAATGAGCCTTAACACTGCCTTGCCTAATTTTGATGTTATTGCCTTTTGTTTATTTTTACACTTTGAACTTTGTCCGGGACATAACTCTTAAACTATACAGGTTAGAGATATCAATTTGAAACTTTATATGTAGATAGATCTCATATAATAGAAGTGCAGTGTAAAAAAGCCATAACTCTGCCTTGCCTTATTTTGGAGTTATTGCCCTTTGGTAATTTTTTTTCACTTTGAACGTTGTCCGAGACATAGCTCTGAAACCATAAGAAGTTTGTAGGTGGATTGATCTCATTAAATAGAAGTGCAACGCAAATGAACCTTAACTCTACCTTGCTTAATCTTGGAGTTATTGCCCTTTGTTCATTTTTACACTTTGAACTTTGTCAAGGACATAACTCTGACACTTCAAGAGATATTCTTTCCTGTGTCCCAAACCTACTAGGGGAGCATCACCCGGCTCAACCGGTTCTTGTTGAAGTTTTTTATTGATTTATCTACATGACTGTTACCTGTAATGTGTTTTAAATGGTTTTCTGATGTACTGATTATATTATTTATGAGTTATGCACGAGCAAAGTAGACCTTTAGATAAAAATGAAGCTTTGTTTACCACCCCTCCTCCGACTTTCTGTTTAATAAAGTTCCTTTGATGATCTCTGTTATTTACCTAACCTTATCCATCTTTAAAAATGTTACATTTCATGTGATTACTGTTAATTTTTTCAGTGTGTTTCTCTTATTTCCCTATCGCTCTTCATGGTTTGCATCAAATGCGTTTGATAAAATTTCTATTGCACGTGTATTAACTATGCCATTTCATTATGTGTATTTGGCGGTACCTGAAACGTGAACATGATTTGTGTACCATTAAGAATAGCGGTAATAGACCACTTAATTCATCATAAAAGATACAAAATATTTTGACTATAGGATGTTCCTTTGGAAAATAACTATTGACCAATACAATTATTATCGGAGTAACTGGTCATGTAAGTTTTTAGATAATAAGATATACACAATAATGCATGCCGGTCTGATTTCTGTATAAAGAAGTTATTGATTAAAATATGAAAATGCTCGTCAGTGTCAAATCCTTACCCTACAAAAAATGAGCGCAATTGATATGTTTTCGGATCATTTTAAGATTGAATCAGATTATTAACAAGTGCATTTGGTAAAACAAATTAAATATCATTTGCATCGGATAATGTCTAATTGTCACTGACCAAATATATTGACACCTTATTTTATTATAGTTATCAGGATTCTGTGAAAGGAGTGATCCAACAACGTTAAAGCATGTGAGGCACAACCGTTTTGGGAAAAGTAAACAGAACAAACTCTGTAGTTACCGGAGTGCTTGGGAAATAATGAGCAATCACCAGGACTTTATAGGTACTGTTCCACTTAAATGAAATTTAAAGCTTCCTTTTTTTATTTTTGATATATCGCATTGCCATACATCATTCTTACTAAATCTGTTGTACCGATGATTTAATAATTTCTTATTACAGATGCACATAAGCTACATAATTCAACTGACACTGTACCCTTGTTTGAATTCATTCAAGAAACTAAACAATACCGTGTTCTTGTGTTAGATGTTTCTGGCAGTATGAAGGTAAATATGTATATGTTTCACAGTTAAACATGCTAACGTTCAATAGCAACGCTTTAATGAGTTATACATTTAAATAAATGAAATAGAAATGTTCTATCGTATTAAACAAGTCTTATATAATAGTTTTTCTCATTTTATAGTTTAATATAATTCAAATCTAATTTAAACAAATAGGTTATGCCCCTGCATCTGATTGTTCAGGTACTATGGTTTATTTTATAATTATGTGTTTGGTCATCATATGATATTTTATATGCTTGCACAATTTAAATGCTCTGGTCCATCATAAATTTCAAGTTTAGAGGGGATTCAAGATTGCAGAGATTTTCTCTTTTGGCGTTGAAATTTACTATAAGTATTATTTGTATGGCACGACACTGTAATAAAACCATATCTTTCTTGATAATGAATTTTGAATGCTTTCAGTGTTTTATTATTTTTCATTGATCTGAATATTTTCATTTCCATAGGTCATCTTTATTGAGCAAATCTTTGAGTGAAGATTTTAATTGGTCACCATCGGTCAAGACCAAATATACCTTTTTATTTTTAATTACTGTACCTTATTAGATGTGCAGTATACGTATTCGGTCATTTTTCTGCTAATCTATATGAATAGATCGCAAATTTTATCCTTTTTTAAACCGCTAATTGTCCCATAATTATCGTCTTTTAAGAATTCATTAAAAGAATTTATTAAAAGAATAAATCAAACGTATCCTAACAAGCGCAGAGTCATCGATCAACAAAAGTGTTGTAAAGGTGCGAAATTTTCAATTAAGATTGACATTACACAATATCTTTAGATGTCAATAGACTTGAATTTTTCGTTGCTGTTTACGGAGATATCTTTACGAAAAATTCTGCCGAAATCGTTCCGGTTTCCGGAATTCGGACTTTCCGGTTTACAGAAACCATTTTTGTACAAAGAAATAGAAGGCAAAAAAATCGGGACCGCGGAAAATTTTCGGTTTGTAGAGAATTCCAAATACAGAGTTTCCGGTTTAGGGAGTTTTTACTGTTATAATAATGAGTTTTTAATTCTCGAAGCATATTTAAAACTGGTTGATGCGGACTATTTCCGAATTGACCTAATTCCATTTGTTTAACAAGTGCTTCTTCTTTCTTACAACAAAATGAATACAAACAAACAAACAAATAAATACACTTCAGGGGAAACGACTTGAAAACCTGCTACAAGTAACAACGCTTGTCATTAAAGATCTCATTCCGTCAGGCAGCTATCTTGGTATCATAGCATTCAGTGACACAGCCACAGATGTACAACAACTGACAGAAGTAACATCCGATTCCGTTCGAGATCAGCTGATTAATAGTCTGCCTACTGTGGCTGGGGGAGGTACATGTATTGGTTGTGGCATTGAAAGTTCCATTGAGGTTTGTAATCATAAAATAAAAGCTTGCTAAGAAACTAAAGAAAATAGTAAGGAACATAATAAAAACTGACCAACAGAGATATGCCAAAATACGTCTATTTGAAGATCTATCTAAGAATTTCAGATTATACGTAACATTTTCAAATGGACGGTGCTACATTATTTTTCCTTTTACTGTTTTACAACAATTTAATTTTGAATTATTTTTAATCAAATAAGCTTATCACTTTATTTTCAATAATGGTTTGAAATCAGACATTTTTAAATTACAAGTTGACAAGACTGTCCAGTTTAGCACCCCTTCTTATATAAGTTGAAACAATCTTATATTAATTGAAACATTATTGACTTTAAACACTATTAAACCTCTCTTTACAAAAGTTGGAATTCAAAATCTTCCCTTTATTGTAATGGAAAGTTACAAATCATCTAATAATACTCTATTTAGTGCTTGGAGTCTGCATTAAGTTGGTAAGAAATACAATATTTTGAAGTCCTGTGGAATATGTTAAGATGGAAATTATTTTAAATTGGAAGTAAAATCTCTGATGTAATATTAAAAGAAGTTCTCAGAACTTAAACTATACTAAATATCATTGTGTTGTTACATTGACGAATAAAGAAATTAATGTGTCTGAAAATACATTATTATGTTATTCAGAATTGCGTATGTATGCATACTTTTTTGTACACAATATTATCATATTTACAACTATCATTCCATTTAGTTAATGTCTTGGAAACATTAAGTAGTAAATATGAAAGGTATACATACAAGGTCACTTCTGTCCTTATCTAGTTGCTAATATCCTCTTATTTATCCAGTTATTTAAAAGGAAACTAGGTGAGGCCACTAACGGAGAAACTATTCTCATTTCTGATGGGGAGAATAATGCAGGCAACATTGACGAATCAAGAGGAAAGATGTTAACAGAAAAGGTCATATTGCACACTGTCTCTGTCACTCAAGATGCCGATCTTGTTCTAGCTGATATTTCAAAAGAAAGCGGCGGGAAACATTTTACATACCTGGAAACTGGAACATCTAGTTTTATTGCTTTATTTGACGAAATAATAGTTAGCAGTCACACGTCTACCTCGAAACAAGCCGTTGTGGTATGATATTTGAACTATTTCACGAAACTGTTAAATCCTACGTAGGACTTGACTGACAGCATCGCTTGCAGCCATGCATTACATAATAAAAATGGAGCCTTAAATGTCGCAGCGATATGAATCTTTAAGGCTTGTTCATAGGCGGCAGCGGCATATACCATTTATCGTTCACGCCCGTGTTACACTAGCATAAAAACGAACTCAACATGTAAACATTTATTACGTAGTGTTCAGTTATGAATGTAGAAGATATTCGGGTTATTGTCAACGAAACAAATTTACCGATGAAAGATGAATTTTCTTATTTAGATTTTAGCTTAAAAAATCATTGATAATTATACATTGTCGGTATTTCATAAATACACAGTTAAAATACAATACGTAATTAAACGAATTTTCTTTGTCATAGCTGACACATTATATATACTTTTTCATATAAATATACGCTCGTACATATGTATGTGACAATTGTGGCATCTGTTTTAAATATTTCACCTAAGTCTTTCGTAAAAGTATTGTATTTCAACATTTCAATACAAATGTATGTTGTTATTGATATACACATTTTACGATTCCAGCTTGCATCAGAAAGAATAAGCAGCACAACATCAAATATAGTCAAATTGGCATTTCCTATTGAAAAGAATCAAGGAGAAAATACATTTTTTGCTGTAATAGTACAATCTGCTTACAACGGTCGATTGGAACTTACTCTAACTGGTCCAAATGATTTGTCCAGAACAATTAGTACTGCAGAAAAGACAGCTACTCTTGGGATTCCAGATATAGCTCAGGTACAACAATCTTGCTAAGTTTTTACACTTGAGTCTTATCTATTTGTCAACCGCACACTAACATGTTTACCTTTTTATTATATTGTTTTGATTAAAAATATATATACATGTACATCAAAATTGGAATTGACATTTATAATATTGTTCGTTTTCGCTATTGATATACATACTAGTAGTTTATACTATGTTTTGCTTAACTGTAAAGAATGTAAAATATATAAAATGCGATAAGCCTTAATATATAGGATGTTGTGTGTTTGAAACATGTTTAAGTTAATGTTCCAATAGCCTGGGGATTATGAAGTAACAATTACAATGGAAACGATTTGAATATCACTAGAATATGTAGTACAATCAACACCAGTCAGTAGTGATATAATAAGAATTGAGGCATATATGTCAGCATCAAAGATCGACTTTAAAACTGGGGAGCTTCCTATTATATATACAGAAGTAACTAAGGAATACGCGCAAGTTTTAAATGCAAACGTCACAGCTCGTGTAGAATCTAACAACGGAAGCAAAGGTTGTGACGTATATTTGTATGATAATGGCTTAGGTAAGGGTTTCCTTTTTGATTTCATATATCATTTGTGACGCTTTTCTGCACGAATGAAATGAAAGCCATTTTATGTTTCTTATGTCTACCTGAATTTTTCATTTGAAACCATTGGCTTTGGAAAACATTTTCCAATAGGATGAGTTTCAGGAGGATTGCATGAAATTTTGATTCCAGCCTTGAGTTATGCCCCGTATGGATTACAAAATGGTGAAATGATTATTATTGGAAATTCCGCCTATTGTCTAATCCCATGTATTTTTCAGAATGCTTTATTAACGCTTTCGTTTTTGTTAGGTTAACTTACTTTTAAAAATGTCCAGGTTACTTGAAGTTGAAATACATGTAGTTATAATCACTTACTAGTTTATTTGTCATAAAACACAATAAAAAAATTAAGGTAGATTAAAAAGGACTGTTATATGTACCTCAACAAAAACTGTGTTAAGCTTGACATTGCTTCAAAGCAGATAGTAGTTGAATTGTGCTTGTTGAGTGTCTGTTGAGTTATTGGTGTGGAGTCTGAAAATTCTACTGTCGAATAATATAAAACTTTTAAGGTCTTAGACCCCCTTTAGTCAAGCAAACATCACTCATAAGATTTGCGATCATCGACATTAGAAATACTAGTAGCTTAATGTTCTGGTATTAAAGGAGTAAACATTCAAATTCTAAAATAAAAAACAGAACAACAATTTTAAACAACGGTTTGTGCTATACGAATACCACTTTTTCTCATCGATGGTTGAAAAGCAACGAATGAAATTTTAGCAGACATGTAGCGTGCGAAGTTATCCAAGCGCAGAACCCAATCATTTTCAAGACTTAAATTATATATATTTAGGTTTGAATATTTATATGAGCTGACAATAATTAGTTTTCCTCTTTTAAAAATCAATTCAATATAATATATGATCTTTGATAATCAATATTTAAATAGATCCGGATGATATTCGTGATGACGGGATATATTCAGCATATATACTTCCACATTGCCTTGGTGCTGGGCGTATAAATGTGAAGATTTTTGCTAAAGAACAAGAAGGAAAGGTGCGCATTAAGAGAGTAATTGCTGGAGGTCAATCACCTTACCAAGGTTTATTTTAACATTACATTAAACTTTATCTATTTTCTGAAGGTGGTAGAAAGGACAATTCATCCTTAAAATGTAATGCTCTGCTGCTTATAATTGGTTGACGCTTTCTGTGGAATTAGATGTTATTATTGTATATTTTTGTTTTCAAATATCATTGACTTCCCTTAGCAACGATTGTCCTTCATAGCGACTGTTTAATTTTCTTTGCAACCAGTTTATTTCATTGCAAACAAGCAATCAATGACTTCAATAGCAAACATGGACTTTCAGTAGCAGCCAGTGATTTCCATAGTGACCTGTGATATCAATAAAAACAATGCATTTTCTTTACAAAAAATAACATCCATAGCAACCATTGAGTTACTCTAGCATCCACTGATTTCCATAGCATAAATTTACTTCCGATAACAACCAATGGATACCATCGTGATTTTAATTTACTAACCTTAGCAACCAGTGATTTTCGTAGCAAAAATTGACTTCCTTTAGCATCCATGGCCTCCATAACATAAAATGACGTTTCTAAGCACCTTCAATAAGTGTTTACGCAGCATTCTATTTTTGCAGAGGAACAATTGAAGGAATACAGCGAACGTTTTCAGCGTGTTAGACTGATGGAAGACCTCTATATTGAAAACTATGAGGATCCTGGACTAAATGACACGGTTCCACCAGGAAGAGTTAGCGATGTTGATATCCATAATATTGTCACGAAAGCAACATTGTCAGGAGAAAGCAGAAATTTTACAATATCTTGGACTGCACCTGGTGATGACAAAAGCATTGGTCGAGGTAAATGTCAATATTATATGTTAGTTTAGAGACCAGTGTATTTTTAGGCATGTAATGATAAGATAACTTTGTAATCGAAAAGATTATGCTATTTAAACTGTAAAAATGTTCAAATGTAAAAATGTCAAAATCAATACAATGGAGACAGGCGTTCTTAAGCATTTGATCAGACAAGTTTATTGTAGTAAAATCCCCTGTGACAATGCCTTTTACACAGTCACCTAAAATCTAAAGGGGCCATCTTCTAGTCATGAACAACCTCAATACCAAATATGAAGACAGTTGACCAAAGCATTTTTAAGCAATTGAGCGGAAAACTTTTTTAAGTCAAGGACCCTGTGACTTAGACCTTTGACCCAGTGACCTCAAAATCAATAGGTCAAAATCAGAGGTCACCTTATAGTCCTGACTAGCCAACATGCCAAATATAAAGACTGTGGGTCAAATGATTCGTAAGTTATTAGGCGGACAGGTATTTTATTCAAGGCCCTTCTGACCTTGACCTCTGACTCAGTGACTTAAAAATAAATAGCGGTCATCTACTAGTCATAGCCAACCTCCATGCCAAATATGAAGACTGTTGGTCAAAGGATTCGTAAGTTATTGGGCGGACAGGCTTTTTTATTCAAGGCCCTTCTGACCTTGACCTATGACCTAGTGACTATTGGGTGGACAAGCTTTTTGTGTCCCCACTTTAGGAGGGTGGGGCATTTAGATTTTCCCTTGTCCGTCCGTCCTTCCATCCGTCCGTTCTCTTTTGTGTCGCACGTAGCTCAAACAGTATTTGCCCTAGAGTCAATAAAACTTTATAGAAATGTTAATTCAGCCATATGTAGTTTGCCACTTAGGTATTTTTTGTGGATATATATATATATATATATATATTATATATATAATATATATATATACTATATATATATAATATATATATATAATATATATATAATTAAAACAATTTGCAACTTCAACTTGTTGTCGCACACATCTCAACAGGTATTTGATATACAGTCATTAAACTTTACAGGAATGTTGCTAAGCTTGTGTAGTTGTGCTCCTGGGGTTTCGCTTATGTATTTATTATGTTTTGTTAGAGTTATTGCCCTTGACTTAGTAAATATTTTTAATTTTCAACTTGTGTCACATGTAGCTCAAAAATTATTTGACCTATTGTCATGGAACTTAATAGAAATGTTGATCAGCATGTGTAGTACTGCACCTGAGTGTTCTTGTGTGGATATATTTAGTATTTTTAGAGTTATTGCCCTTGACTTAGTAAAAATTTGCAATTTTCAACTTGTGTCGCACGTATTTGACCTAGTGTCATGAAGCTTTACAGGAATGTTGATCAGCATGTGAAGTTGTGCACCACGGAATTTTGATGTCGTAATGTTTAGTAATTTTAGAGTTATTACTCTTGACTTCTTAAGAATTTACGATTTTCAAATTGTGTTGCATGTTACTCAAAAAGTATTTGATATAGAGTCATGAAACGTTACAGGAATATTGTCAGCATGTTAAATTGTGCACCTGGGGTTTCATTTGTCGATTTATGCTGTTTTGTCAGATTTATTGCCCTTGACCGTTCCATTATGTTGTGTTATTTGTTTCTCTAGTGCTTGAGTTAGAATCAACCAAATTTACAGGAATAATGCTCAATATCACTGTGAAACTATGCACCTGTGGTTTGCATGCAGATTTCTTTCAGTTTTGTTAGAGTTATTTCCCTTGTCTTAGTATAAATTTGCAATTTTCAACTTGTTCAGGCATAACTAAAAAAATATTTGACCTGTAGGTCTGAAAACTTACAAAAATGTTGGTCAGCCATGTACTTATGCACCTTGGGGTTTGCTTGTGGATTTATTCAGTATTTGTTCTTGCCCTTGACTTAGTAAAAGATTTTTAGTTTTCAACTCGTGGCACATGTAGCCCAAAAATATTTGACCTAAAGTCATAAGAAGTAGAGTGTGGGGGCACCCGTGTCCTATGGACATATTTCTAGTTTATTCAAGGACATTCCGACCTTGACCTATGACCTAGTGACTTCAAAATAAATAGCAGTCATCTGCTTGTCATAACCAACCTTTATGCCAAATATGAAGACGTTGGTTTAAAGAATTCTTAAGTTATTGGGTGGACACACATTTTGAAGTCAAGGCCTTCTGACCTTGACCTTTGACCGAGGGCTTTTAACATTAATAGGGATCATCTTATGGTCATGAAGAACCGCCCTGCCAAATATAAAGACTGTTGGTCAAAGGAATCTTAAGTTATTTGGCGGACAAGGAAAAATCGATGGTAAGCCGAACGGACAAGCTGATTCCAATATACCCCCCCCCCCTTATAACTTTCTTGTGCAGGGGTATACCAAGCTTATTCATCTTATCGAGTATTTTCATTCATAAACATTAATTAACTGTTTATATTTGTTTCTTATATAGCTTCTGAGTACATATTCAGGATTTCCGATGATTTTGAAACTCTCAAAGACAACTTTGATAATGCCGAGCTGTTGGATGTCGGTAATTTTAGTTTTAAGCCTTTAAATGCTGGTGAAAAGGAAGCATTGAAACTTGTTGTTGTCGCAGAGAAATCTTATACCAGCACACTATTCTTCGCCTTAAAAGCAGTTGATGAAGTGGGTAATACTGGAAAAGTTTCAAACATTTTGTCAATTGTTGTTGGTAAAGGATATCGTGCGTATGGAGAGGCAGGCAGTTTGGAAACGGGGGATGTTGACGTTAATACAGCAGAAGAACAAAATGTCATGATGTATGTTATTCTTGGATCTGCAGCAGGGGTTATCGTGTATCTTACTATAGTCTTAACAGTCTGTTTGTGTAGAAAAAGAAGAGTCTCGGTATGTCATTTATAATATGTTAAACTTAATAAAATTTAAGTTTCAATATATTTCTGTTGACGAAAACGTTTGTTTTCTTTTTTAATAAAACGCTTGTTTGTTTTTTAAAAAAAGGAGTTAAACACTTAAATAAGAATTGCAGCGTCGTGTTTACATGGTCTTTCGTCGTGTTACGAACTGAAATATCAAGGCATAGATTTATGTTTGCAAATACATACTAGTTTACGTCTATGTTATTATCTTTTTACAGAACGCAAAGAATACAAATGTTCCACTTGGGAAAGTATGAACTACGTGATGAAAACAAACAGTAGAAATATGTACATATACCATCTGTTTTCGACTTAAACGCTCGCGTTGTGTTCCTGTATGTTTATCAATAATTATAATTCTTTGTGACAATAATTCAATTGTAAGAATTCATTGTGCTTATCTTTTTGTATATATTATATTTCAATGTAATTATAGATAAATAATAAACATTATATAATACTAGTAATATAAATAAAAACAGTTCCCGTTGAATTAGTTTCGTTAGCAAAGACAAATCACACTAAATTAAGCTACAAAGAATAATCAAAGTGTACACATTTTGATGTTGTTGCAGACATAGCTACGCCTTGTAATCCTACAGTCCATTTCCTGTCATTATACGTAAAATATACGCCTTGTGGGTAAAATGTTGCCTAATTAGCGGCCGTCAGCTGTTCTAAACATTAAATATGTATTTTTGATAAATCGTTTCATATTATTGTCAAATCAAAATAATTAAGAAAGAAAAATAATCTTGGGTCGATAAAATACATTAGCAATACGGATACCCCTCGATACCTTAAATCTGCTGGTCCGCTCTTTTTTTTATTTAAATAAGTATAGCGGACGATTCGTTTCCTGATCTTCTATTTTTAGACATGAACGTCAATGACTCGTAAAAAATGCTCTAGGGACGTTGTTTAAAGATGGTTTAACATATGCGGATGTTTCTAAATTCAAAATTTTACCATTTCATGTTTAAATGTTGAATTCTGCTTAAGCCGGTGCTAGGGGGCGTGGACGGTAACTTGCACTTTCCAGTACCGTCCATGAACAGGCTCAATCAAACCGAGCCTGCAACATTTTCAATTTTGCCGTGTTGGGCTTTCTTTAGGGATTCTGTTTTTATCTATTTTAACAGTGAAATGATGCACTTTCCCTAGAAAGATTACTAGAATACTTAGCTTGAAACAACACAAAAACTTTTCCTAAAAGAGAATATAAGCTGAGGCCCCTTTAAGGTTGAGGTGTCTGAATTTCAGGCAGTTTTTATCTCTGCGATATCATAAAGGGCGATTTGATGTGTTCGAACTACTGCAATCAATACAACTCCAGCGGGTGAGGTGGTTTTAACCCTATTTTTATGTTTCTGTCTCGGGGAAAGCCATAATCATATTTCCTGTTTCAGTGCCATGTGACATAAATTGTGTTAGTGCGTCGTAAAACCAAACAAAACAAAATATACTTGAAAATTTTAACTTTAAAACTTACTTTTCGGCAGGAATTTCGAACGATTCCTTGAATACCAATACAGATGTATTCGTATGCAATTTTCTATGTATGGATATATATTTGTTGAACTTATTTTTTTAAGATATTAAATGAAAAAAGATTTCATGTTCAACTTTAAAGTCAACTTTATTAAAGCTAAAATATCATTTAACTGCTACATATGAGATGTCTCCTATAAGATAGGATATTGTAACGACCAGTTCCCATCATTTTAAGTCATAAAACAAACCTAATATACTTTGTTTTTTAAAAGTACAGTATAACAAAACAAAGATATAGCTTTCGTGGTAATTTGTTATTTGCGCAAAAAAATTGTTCATACTTAAGGGACATAAAAGAATTTCGAATATTTAGAATGGTAAAATATGAGTATTATATTATACAACACTTCTGCTTGTTTTACACTGATTAGTAAAGGTTCATGTATAGATGTAATTAGAACTTAAGATAAGAACTTTATAATGCTATGTTTAACACGAGAGATAACACTAATGTTTCATGTTTAATTACGGGAATATGTCACTTTCAAAATATTTAACAGAGTACTTTTCAGATGAAGAAAGTGGGGCGATAAGCGATTCTGAAGGTAAGCTTACTATATATAGAGAGGTTATTGATAAAGTGAAGGTTATATTTGGTGAATATGCAAGCGTCTGCCAGGCATAATGTTATTTAATTCAACGAGTTCAATAAATATAAAAATAAGCTACACAAATATAATTTTCCTTTTATCACATATCCAAAATAAGAACCGTTAACGGAAAAATAAGGAACTTCTCCATTCACAACATTAAGTGCGTCTTAACGCAATGACTCCACGTCAAAGAATATGCACAGTTGTACAATTCCGTTTTTAAGGAGTCGCAAAAGTTGCTTGGGTTATGATAAAAAAGGATATCGAATGAGTGTAGGTTCAATCATGAATTTATTGAACGAGTTGAATAGAATTGTATTATGTAAGCCTCTGGCGAGCAAAAAAGTATTTATTCAACCAGTTCTTACTGACGATTTTAACAAAATTATATTATGCGAGCCTCTGGCGTGCAAAATATTATCTATTCAACGAGATCAATAAATTCAGTAATGAAGTAACACTCACGAATATGACATACCACAAAATAAATACTGTTTAAAGTGCAAAAAGAATCATTTTTCAGTGGCGCACCTTTAGCATAACGCTAATATTTACACTACGAGTTATGTTAGTATTTATAACGCAAATGACATCACGTCAAAAATATATGCACGGTCGTGCAATGCCATTATCTTTTGATAATAATAAATGATTGATTGTGATATAAACAATTGAAGACTTGTAGAATTTCTAATATCTGATTTAGTTTTTCTCTTTATTTTAAACAAGTATCTGTATTTCGCTTTTATACATTATAGAAGAAGGACAAGCAGATGCCAAGCCGAAGCCGAAGGACTGGCGTCCATCAACATTCTTATCTTTGGACTTTTCGGTTCACCTGTCGGTGTCTCTATCAAACGTAACTCCATATCGAGCGATAAGATTTGACACGGTTGATACGAATCATGACGATTGCTATAATGTCACAACAGGGCGATTTACTGCACCGCTAAAAGGATTGTATGTTTTCTTTGCCACAATAACTACCACCGAAAGACTTAAAGCAACGCTATGTTTTATTCATAAGTTCCACCCTGTGGACCAATCAAAAGTTAAGGAAAGGGAGCAACTAATAGAGGGGTTTAACAGCAAAACTATAGCTGTGGTGCTGACACTTGATAAAGAGGACGACGTTTGGGTTCTAAATGTTTCCAAGGTGTCAGATGTCAACCAAATGCAAGAACCTTACTACACATCTTTTTCGGGTGGTTTAGTTGATAAACTTACTTCAGACTGACTGTCATCTTTGCTTTTTGTGTAAATGATTTATGTTGTCATTTATGCACGAAGTTGAAAATGTTTTAAAGGGACTCCGCTGGTGTTTCTGACATGACGAGACTGGACATAATTTTTTCCAGATTTATGTTTCATAGATGTAGGTCTGGACCAAAAACTTATGTGCAAAACTTCAGATCATGCACCCACTCCGTTTTATTTTTTCAAAACAGTTACCCAAGTGTGTAAAAAGACGCAAAATTTAAAGGCGTTCCACCGCTTTTCAGTCAAATCGGGCTAAGAATAGCACAACAATACGATTTCTAATTATTTTCCGTGTACAGTTCTTAATTATCTTTTACATATTTGTATGCTTTATGACATACAACTCTATATCACTTTATAATGATTGTTTTCATTATAAAATATATGCCGGTTGAAAGTAATATTGAACATTTTTGTGACGACCATATGATTTCAAATGAGAACTAGATAAGATCTACGTAAGAACTAGATAAGATCTACGTAACAAATTTAAATTTTATGTTTTTAGACTTTAAGACCTCAGCAGATCACGTTCCTTAAAGGCTCATTCCATATGGATACATTCAGAGCATAGCCTTCTATATTGTTTTATAGATTTTATTATTTACAGAGTGTCATTATCGTTAAAGATAAAATTTTATTAAATATTTAAGGAACTCAATTGGGGTTTTTATACTTGATGGAACGATTACTCATTCACTCCGTTTTTGTTGCTTTGCAATGCTTTTCGAACTAATTTGGATACGGATAACACAAAAATACGATTTTCAATTCATTTCTGAGTATATTACTTAGTAATCTCTTGTGTATATGTCTGTTTTTAAGAACCCCACTTAATCTATGTAAAAATTCAAATGTTTGAATGTTTTTTTACCTCGGTAGAGTTCCTTTTAAACATCTAGTCTACTTTACTATTAAAAGTATGGTTATAATAAAGTGAGGCTTACGAGGTTATTATGATCCGCATCTTAGTCAGAAATATCCACATTTCATGACAATTGCATGGGTGAAGTTACTTTTTCTTGTATTCTTGTCACATGCTAAACATAGTTTAAAGGCTTTAAGGTTATGTAAGCAACTGTATGATAGTTAATAATCACATCCAGCATTCTAACACCGACCTTAAAGTCTTCATTTTGAGTATATAAGAGTATATCTTATTGGTGTCAATAAATTGTCTGAGATTTTATCTTGTTCTTATTTAAAATAATATGGTCGTCAGAAAAAATTGTGTTTAATGACTTCATAATCTTAAGTCGACTCGCCACCAGATGAGCAAAGATTTGCCAATAACAACAAATTTAAGAACAATGTATAAACGTGTTAATAAATTGCTTACAACTGTATGTGAAATTTAAGACGAATTAATCAAAATGTTACTTTTTTTGTCATGCATATTTTTTGTACAAAAGGAGTTAGGACTGCCTCTGCAAATTTCGACATGGTATTTTTGTGTGTGTGAAAAGTGGTTACTGTAGCTTAAATCATTCTTAAACATTAAACATTGTTGATTTTTTTAATTTTCATAAATTCTGTTTCTTGATGCTAAATAATATATAACATATATAGTGTAAATATTTGATATCCATAGAAAACTTTTGTCTATTTTGCTAAAATTATTGTTCACTATTTAGAGATAAGGAAGATGTGTAATCGGCCGGATAGCTCAGTCGGTAGAAGCTCGGAACGGTGTCCGAGTCCATGTCAGGCTGTACATATTTCTCACCCTGTTACATTGTGATTGTTAATATGTCTGACAATCATAATGGATTTAAAAATGCTCACTGATGTACAATTATTAACAAATCCAAATTCATATCAACAGGAAGACATTTTGTACTTTCAGCTTCTACCACCATAAAAATAATATGTAAATTATATAATGTTTACTTTTATATCTATACATTTACTTAATTTAGGTGGACTTTATAATAGAATAAACATAGTCAAAATCTCTCAGCATAAAATTACTATTTGTTTACATGTTGACTTTCTTAGTGTTGATGATAGACAGAAATAGCGTATGTGCATTCCGAGGTTCTTGTCCGAAGACTGACGGAAAGGGCCGAAGAGTTGCGATTGCCAATAACTATTAATTATCATGTAGTTATTTCTACATAAAAATATAATTGCTTCCATCGTACTCCAGTAAAAGAATTATTCACGATTTGTTAATCATATAACATTTTGGTTATGGTTATTGTTATTGTTCTTTTAAAATTGATAATTAAATAAAGAAAAACATCAGGGTATATATATAAATGAAAAGTGGCGAAATTTATCAGTGTATTTGTTTTGAAGATGTATCAGTTGTCTCCCTTTGGTATTGCGTTTCTTAAAATGTTCACAGCTTTTCTTCCTAATGAGTGTACACCAGTATCACTTTCAGACCTCTAATGAGATAACGTGAAACATAACATAATATTATAATTATGAATAATAGAATGACATTTTAATTTTTAAGACAACTATTGTATTTATATTGTAAAGAGAAGATCTTAAATGAAAGAAAACAATATTATTTAGTACGTTACCGTTTAAGTGAAACGGTTTTCGTACGTTCATGTGCTAAGATTGTTTTATTAATTAAACAATAAACGGCAGATGTCTTAACACTAATTTGTTATAATTGGCATATGATTTTGTCTGTTAACAAATATACAGTAATTTGAAACTTGAAACATACCGTATAAAGATCTATTAAATTTATTATTTTTGAATTTCCTTGTTTCATGTAGGCCCGTAACATACTACTCTATATCACTTTATAATGATTGTTTTCATAATAAAATCTATGCCGGTTGAAAATGATATTGAATATATATATTCAATGGTTTGAACAAAAGTAACTTTAAGTAAATAAAGCATGGTTTCCAAGGCTCACTTTGCTCATAGGAATTAAAACAACTGAATAAAATATATACGAATTAAAAAACGACCCATATGTTTGAATTCGTTGTGCGCATGATTTTCTTCCTCGGAGGGCAATTTCATTAGCTTTTTGTTAGGATTACAGAAATGAAATCCTTAATAGCTCTCGGTTGAAGAAATCAAATAACAAACCGAAAAAAGACGACGTGAGTTCAACAGTTCAAGCACTCTGTGGACATTGGCGGTTTCGATTTAATATTATATCAGTCAAGTTAGAGATTTCATACAATGGTAGTTGTAAACATTAATAAACATTATGCAAATCATGGTAATTTACCATAACGAACTAATCTGTCTTCCGCACAATAGAGTCAATCTAATTTGACATGGATATCGCCAATAACAAAAACAATGCTTCAAGAAGTGGTTGCATTTTTTTCATTCTATTCCGTCCACAAGTGAGTTATCCATTTAAACGAAACAAAATCCTGAACGTCAATTTGAGATCTTTGTCATACGTTACCTTTAATGTCTCAATTAAGTTGTTTGATAAAACAGTGTCTAATTCGTCTGCAGTGAACAACAGATGTTCGAAAAAGCTGAGTTTTTGAACATATTTGACCTCCATTGCTGATTATTTAAGATAGCAAAATTTTGAACACAGGAAGAGACCATTTCTGTATCTTTTTACGAGTTATCAGAACGGGCAAAGATCTGTTTTGGTCTATTAAAAATTCAACTGAAATTTTAGATAAGTTTAAAGTTAAGAATTATCAAGCTTCATCTGTAAGTACTTACGATTTCTCTACCTTATATACAACATTGCCGCATAATCTTATAAATGATAAATTAGTATCTTTAATTCAAAAAACATTTGCAAGAGAACAGGTCACGTTTCTTGCTTGCAATTCAAAGAAGGCTTTCTTTACCAATGTTATCATTAAACAATATACAATGTGGACCTGTGACGAAGTTTGTAAAGCACTTTCGTTTTTATTAGATAACATTTTTGTCAGGTTTGGTAATACAGTTTTCAAACAGGTAATAGGCATTCAAATGGGAACTAATTGTGCCCCCCTGATAGCTGATTTATTTCTTTATTGTTATGAGAGGGATTTTATGTTAAGTCTTTCCCCTACTTCGCATCAGGAAATTATACATGCATTTAACAACACTTCCCGCTACCTAGATGATATTTTTAACATGAATAATCCTTATTTTGATCAATTGGTTTCTAAAATATATCCCAGTGAACTTAAATTGAATAAAACTAACTCTTCAGACGTTATTACATCTTTTTTAGATTTAAACATTTCTATCATTAACAATACTATAGTAACTAAAATCTACGATAAAAGAGATGATTTTGATTTTAATATTGTTAACTATCCACATTTAGATGGAGATGTACCTCATGCTACATCATATGGGGTATATATTTCTCAATTAATTAGATTTGCTAGGGCGTGCAGTCGTGTTGATGATTTTAATGAACGCAATTTATTTATTACTAACAAACTTCTTAAACAAGGTTATCGCTATCATAAATTGCGTAAATATTTTACTAAGTTTTACCATCGTAATTCAGATTTAGTTTTAAAATTTAATTGTAATTTGAAAACTCTTTTACGACTAGGTATTAGCAAACCTGATTTCTATGGAGATGTGGTTTACAAACTTCGTAAGATCATGGGTCATAGTAATTTTTCTGCCGTCTTCACTAAAATTATCAAACGGTTTATTAAAAGAGGTTATGACCCAATTATTTTAAGGCATACCGCATGCTTGGTGTTCAACCCTTTTACAGTTGGTCGCTACGCTTTCCTCTTTTGATTACATCTGACGGACCAAGTGGGAGACTCTATGATGGACAGTTCTTAAAGCCCTTTGGGGACTGAATTGTCTTAATGTTCGTCTTCTGCCTTGCTTCGTCGGGCCCTTGTAGGTGATTTTCTTGTTGCTCTGCCTTCCTTTAAGGCATCGAGTACTTTGGTAATGGTCATTAGGCAGTAACTTTTTCTACATATTTACATAATTTTGTATGTGTTTTATTTATTTCGTCTAATGTAACCATGACCATTGTTAGAATTTCACTTGGCGGGGATTAATTTTATATACATTTTCGTGTCATTCAGGAACATATTGGGGCTAAGAGTGAGGTTTGGCGCGCCTAAAACCGGTTTAAACTCCCCAGTGGTTTAACTACCACTGACCGTTCCAAGGCGGTACCCCTTTGTGTTCCTTCACGTGTTTTTCTTGTCTGTATTGTTACTTGTTTTTGGATGTTTACATGTTTTGTGATGTCTGTCTTGTTGGATTGTCGTTGACGGTAGGTATTTTCTCTCCCCCCTTCCATTTTTAACCTCCCCCCCCCCACCTTTTCACCCGTACAGCCCTTTTCCCTTTAATTCCCTTATGGGCCTGTTTTTGTTTATATTATTTCACATTACATGTCCCGCTCCTTTCGCCCTTGTGTCCACTCCAGGTACTTGTTTGGTGCCTTCTGGGTGTCCTGCTTGGGTGTGTCCGGGGGCGGCGTCCTGTGAACGTTGCCTTTGCCTTGTTGATCTTTATTCTTGTTATTGAAGAAAATTGCGATAATGATAACCTTGTGTCAAATTAACAAAATAATAATGGCCATGTTCGTGTAATTTCAGGCAGTCAAAGTCATAAATGACCTCTATATAATTGAGACGGCTATCTTTTATATCATCGTAGATCGGTCGTTGACAATACATAATCATGTTCGATCTTCGTGACATGTGATTAAACTGATTAACGAAAATGGTG